TTTTTGACACTATTCAACAACGTAGACCTGTCTGGAGAATGGTTTTCATCGCCATACATTGCTGATTTGTTGCTCTCAGACAACGGTTCTCCTGACATCCTTCACCTCTCCAGATAAATAAATCACCGCTTCATGTGATCAAGAAAGCGTTATAGCAAAAGACCATCCTGGGTGGGCACTGGGTAGAAAGATTAATGCCCAAATTTAGCATTCAAATGAAATATCATCCCTTTTAATTTTATTTGCTTTTGTTTTTAGCTGTCTCGCACTCACTTTTTTTTTCTTTTCTGTTCTTTTAAATTTAAAACCTGGGAGCTACGAGTATGAATGCAGCTGAAATGGGAAAGCTGATGATTAAGATTTCAGCTTTTTCTTTTCAGTTATGCATTGTTTTCCACAAACTGTACAGCTCGAAAACAAAACAAGCCCATATATTCAATTTCACTAATACTTCTCTACTCCCAGACCTCATCAGTAAGTCAGACCTTTTGCACAAGAATTTTATGTTGGAGACTAAAATAATGTTTGCTAATAGGGAGTCTTTTCCACCTCCACTATAAAACGATCCTTTATTTTTTGTATTCAGGGTTAACTTAGAAAAAAAGGAAATCAAAAAAAGGACATTCCTAGCATCACTGCTCCAGTCCTTTTCCACATAGAGCTCAGCATTGTCTAGAGACAGTGCAAAGATCTTCTACCAAGGCTTATTAATTCACCACTCTCGTCTCCCCGAGCCAGCTATCATTACAGCCCTATATATAGAGGCGCGTGGGGAATAGCAAGGGATGCTCACGCACATTAACATTAATGACTTTAGGCTCTGCTCATATGCCCTGGGTGCTTAGACACACTTACGTGTGCAACTGTGAAATAAGAAAAAAAAAAAGTGTTCACATCCCATGAAATAAACATTCCTTTGTTTACAAACAAAAGAACGACAGGTTTCCCTTTCACCACTGTGTCGTCTGTCGCTTTGCCTCTGATTGCGCAGGAGATTAGGCTGCAGGGCAGAAGCAGAGTCCAGGATCTTCAGTGGATTGGTTGACTGTGAACTCCTACTGAGTTTGCTAATGAACAATCATCAATGCCTCCCCCTGTGGCTGCTGTTAAGGACCGGTGTGCTGCCTACCGCGTTGTGAAAGCCGGATTACACGGTGTCGGCCCTCGTGTAGTTATTCTATCCCGAGCTCAGCAGGAGGCTGCACAGCCCATTTCATTTTCCACTTTGTGTTAATCAGGATCTAATGTCCTATACTGCTTCCCAAGATTTTGTGTACAGGACACATTTGAAAGCTGGGGCTAACACTCCCACCCCTCTCTTTGTCCCCCCCTTACACACCCACCTACCCTGAAGCACCCAGTTCCTCAGGCTCCATCCTGGGTGACTCAGTAGCAGAATAGCAGATGGCGCTCATGGAGAGAGGAGGGCAAAGCACGAATACTCTCATCCCTCTGCCCGAGGCCTTGAGGGGGTTCTTTGCAGCTAGCAGAAGCTTCCACCCTGCAGAATGTGACCCCTCTCTCTCCTTGAGGTGCCCGCAGGCCGGAACACTGTCCAGCACACAGAAATCAAAGACAAGGCCGGTGCTCTTCTTCTTGACAAACACTAAAGCACGCGGTCACAAGGGCTGTAGGGATGGACGATTCCCTGATATTCCCCAACCATCCAGGATCTAGTAGGTGTCTTGTTGGTGAATGTCGCTCAAACGTTGAAGAAGGATGAATGATTTATCTGGAGGTGATCAATTGTCAAAGTTGGATGGTATCACTAAGCTTGTTTTGCCTTGCAGATGAATCAGACAATTTGTTATTTGAAACAAATATTTCCTCGTAGTGTCATACACAAATAGGAAGGCAGGAGACACAGGTGAGAGGAAGTGCACAACTTATGTAAATACGTGCCAGTTAATTTGAGAGTATAGAGAGGATTTAAAACTCTCACTAGAGTCTAATACTGAAGCAGAGGACTGGACGGTGGGCGGGGTGGGGGGGCTTCATACCCCTGAGCATGGTGGCATCAGCTGTCTGACTCCAGGCAGGAATGTAAGAAGGGAAGATAGAGCAGTCTGACATCTGGATGCAAACTATTCAGAGTGGTCTCACACACCAAGAAACCTATAGTAGTGAAATGTAATGCAAGTGAAAGGCAGTTTTCAAATGAAAAGAGATCTTCAAAGTGTGACGTGGATTCATATTTAGCCCCTTTTTTACAATGAATAATAGCACAAAAAAAATCTAAGCGTAAAAAAAAAAAATCCTGTAAAAATTGCATTCAAAACAGTGCAAATTGTAACTTCAAACCCTTCAATTTTAGTCAAATTATTTTGAAAAAAAATCCAATGTTACTCATCTAAATTCAAAATGTTTTAGTCCCAAAGAAGCAGATGAACTTAGGTTTCAGATAAAATTTATTGAGACTGATTTAAGCTATGACAGCTGATGCGACTGGTGGAATTATGATTATTAATGTAAAGGAGATATTAGTTTAAAGAAATGAGTGGTTTAACATTTTTGCACAGTGTGCTTATTGTATGTAAGCTTTACTTTCAAAGCCTTCTATCTAATAATAAATTGAGTTCTCTCTCAGAGAGCGTCTTAAAGACTTACCCTAGGCATGTTGATGCCCCTCTGGGATTTTCTGACAAATTCACCCAGAAGCGTCATATGAATTTGAATAAGCGCCCATTTAGATTATTTAGCTATGGGAATACAACGTTACACAACAGAAACCAGTTAATGAGGAAATAAAGCGGCATTTAATTTAAAATTAGTGAATAGGAGGAAATAAGTGGAAGCATTGTGATTTATGAGTGCAGATTTTGATTTAATTTGCTCTCTCTTGAAGTGAAAGTGCCACACATTAGACTGCGTTGGACTGTGCAACAAATGCAATATAGGACTGAGCTTGGGCTGTTCCTGGAGGCACTCTGCATGCTCTCGTGTCAGTCTCGCTCACTGCTGGCAGTGACCAAATCCATCATGACATGTGGACAACAAAGAGCTACAAGAACGCCCGCCTTATTGTTCGCCCTCACACATCACAAATACACTCCGTCTTAGTGCACTATCTCTCCAGAACACAAGCCATGCACGGGGAGCATAGCATGTCACAGAACACTGTGAAATCTTTAAGCACCATATCCAAATGTTAAACCCCCCCCCTCGTCAAATAGCTGCCGCCCGACATGAATTGCAGTCAAAGCCATGGATGGTGTCGGAGCGGAACTAGTCAGCCAGTCTGGGGATTTTCCAGATAAAGCTTTCTGGTAGAAAAGTGGGAGAGTCCAGTCATCAGTATGGTCCAGTCAATTCTTTAAATTAGCCCAAGATTAGGGAGTGCACGGTGATTAAGCTCATTTGAAGTATTGAAGATCCGTCTGGGCATTGGCAAAAGCCGCACTTTAATTAATCTGGTAATGGATGAGAAAAATAAGCACTCTTACAAGCACATATCAGCATTTTGCTTAACAGGAGGAAGTAGGGAGGATGGGGAAAGGGGGTGGTTAGGGGTATGTAGGGGTGGGGTGGCTTTTTAAAGGCAGACACTGGGAGTGAAATGGAGCATGTTGCCTACAGGGAAATTAGCACTGAGTGTAGTTTGATGAATGCCCCATTGTATCTATGTTATGATGGAAAAGGGAGATTGTATGGTGTTTTTTTTCTTCATGTTTTATCACTGTAGTCCTTGTTCATGAGTTTTCCCTGGAAACAAGAAATCTGTAAAATTATTGGCTCATTCAGAAAAAGTCTACTTGACCATTTTAATTAGAGAAAATTATTTTGTTTCTGAGAAACTATGAGGATATGACTACTTTCCTTTTGACTGCTTGCTCTGAAAATAGCCAGTTGTACTCTGTGATTCACCAACAGACTATTTATCTTTTAATATTGTTTTCTGCGTTTTACAGAAATGTGTAGTTTTTATATTTTATAAATTTGTAAGGCTGGACAGAATCACGGTCCCAGAGTTTCAACGTTAAGGAAGACATTCACATTGTCATAGATAATTCGGTAAACCTTTTTAATGGCATACATGCAACAAGGTGTCTAGAATTGTCTTCAGAGATTTTGGTCTATTTTGACATGATGGCATAAAGCTGTCAAGCAAAGGAAAAATATTAAATGCTCTAAAAATACATTGTCACAAGACAAAACCGCTTAGCATGTGCTGGATGTGCAAATCTATGATGACATCCCATAGGCACTCTGCTGTCTTAAGATTGGGTGACAGTGATGTTATTGTCAGCTACAACATACAAGTTTGAGATGACTGACTTTTCATGGCACATTATTTTGCAGGAAGTAGTCATCAGAAGATGGGTACACTATGGTCAATGGACCAAGTAAAGGCTTTTCTATTATTCTATTATTTCACTGACCTTTCAGCGTTGTACACAGGCTGCATCTCCGACAAAGAAATAACAAAGGTCAGTGGAATCCTTCCTCTGCTTGAGCTGGGAGATGAAGTCATGGCAGATAAAGGCTTCCTCATTCAAGACCTCCTTCATGAAGTTGGAGCCAAACTCATCATTCCACCATTTAGGCATCCTGGTCAGTTCAGCAAGGAAGAGACAGAGGAGACCCAGACCATTGCTCGGCTGCTACCCCATCTGGGGTTCTCCGGTGCCTCTCACTTTAATAGGAACTGTCAATCTGGCACAACTTTTGTGTTTTGGCAAATTATCAAGGCGCATTTTGTGTTGCAAACTAAATTATTTCTGTATGTTAATTGTTGTAATGCTATGTAAAAAGTTAAATGTCTAGACTTTTGCAAAAAATATTCAATTAAAACACACTTTGGCAGCACACTTGACTTTCTTTCTGTATTAAGTTGAATTGCAAAGAAAACAAATCAAGTACAATTTACAATATCTAGTAAAAACAAAAAAATCCATAACAATTTCATATTTTATTATTGTACACCATACACTGATTTAAAAAATACTTAAGACAAGCTCAAGGAGAAAAATTTTAAAACATAAGTTTCAAGACAACTGCAGTTAAGAAAACAAATTTTAATAAATTATCCAACTGACTTTTAGAGACATTTGCACATCTCTGTATGTTGCATGAGTAACAACCATGTACAGTGATTCACACAGCTTGAGATTGGATATTTGAAATGCAAAGGAACAAAAGGGTTAGTTACACATTTTATAATTCTTATTGCATTGACATGAACACATCAATGAAGGTGTTGAAGTAAAATAAGTCCAGTTTAGATTTCATTTGATCAATGAAAGCCTCATCACGCCACACCCGCCCAACAGTTATTGTTGTTAGCGTGTCTGTAACAAAGTCGCACCATCCAATCCGCTGATTGCCAGCTGTAGGCATGTGAACGCCTCAAAACTGAGTGCTCATCCTGGACCTTGAGGTGAGCAACCTGAGATGCATCATTCTTCATGCTGCTTTTTACAGCAGACTCCTCTGCACTTCCTCTGCCAGCATCACGGAAACGGCTAGCAGTAAGTCTTGGTTGTTGAAGATGTACCCATGCAGGACATCTGGACTGCTCTCTTGTTCTGGCTTCTATTTCATAATAACATCAGTGACATAATCATATTAAATTTTGACAAAGGAAACATACGTGTAAAAAACGTAAACCAAACCTTATACCTGTGTAAGCTCTGTAAAGTGTGGAGTGCAGATATCTTTTCCGCACCACCATGTTGCTGGCAGGTTCAGGATGTTTCCCCTTACAAGAAATACACAGAAAGATGTCAAACTAAATAACAAATAAATGGATGAGTGAGCAATTTGTTAGGACATAAAGGAACTGATTTGGCACAGTTTAGATTTTTACCCAACTTGCAAACAAATTAATTGATAGCAGCTGAGCCTGTTTTTTTATTGCCTACAAAAAAGAAACATTCCAAACAAACTATGACAGAAATTATATTTGACACAAGTAATATTGAGATTACAACAAATTTTATATGGAGATTATAAAATACAGGTGGGAAAGGAACGTAAATGGCAGTGCGACACAATCAAAGGAGAAATAAATTGTGTACATAACTATAGTACTGTTATTTTAAGATCAAATGTGTATGACAGTATATTGCAATGTATATAATTTAGTATATCTAGTATATTTATATATCACATCCCATAGGACAATGTGTACCACTCTTTTTTTCTTACCTGTGTTCTTGGTTTGTGCCATCTTTGTAAATCACTTGTGCAGGAGGAACAGTTGGCAGCTGGAGTTGGGAGTAGTGTGCAGTCTGGTGAAGAAGTGCAACTACATGATTGCAAAAACCTTTACCAGCTGCACAGCTACAGGAATAATCCAGTAATTCAGCCTTTTCTTTTCCAACACCCAGTGATATCTAAAATAGACAACTGTTTTAGTAACACATACATACATCAATACATATAGCATGTTTAGCTTTAAACAGCAGATTCTAGTTTGAAGGTAAGCTTCAACAGCAGCAGAAAAAACACAGACTGTTGCAACCGCAACAAAAACAGAAAACAAATAGTAACCTCTGAACAGGAAGATGTTAGAAAAAAGCTCTGAGTTGTCCAGAAGTCGTACGTGGAAGTTCTTCATCTGTCAAATATGAACAGGAACTCGAACTACCGGCTTTCTGACTGTTTCAAACCTGCAGCTCATGCAGTTTCTCATTTTTCTTCATGGATCTGAAGCATCTTGCTCTGACAACTACCTGTCCCTCGACAATATTAGACACTGCAGGCATGCAGGAGTAAAGCACAGTTTCAACATCAAGCGTCATCTAGTATCTTATAACTAAGTCCTAGCATGCTGTTTTTCACAAACTGTACTGGTAAATACATTTCAGAATGCAATCAGAATATAATTGAAAAGTTGAAATTATGTTTGTCTTCAATATTCCACGTAATTTAGCAAACTAAGTTAAGCTTCATTATGATGTGTGTAGTTCATATATTGTAGCTAGCGGTTAGTTCGCTAAGCTACGTCTTTTCTTACCTTGATAGCGGTGGATATATCTTTCGAGGAAGAACTTGTATCCTTTCACACGTTTGTTGGTGGATAAATTAGCCGCTGCGATTTCCTCCGCATCAGCGAAAGAAGGGGCTGGCAAATTAAGTAAGGACGATGAAAAGAACCGGAGGAGAAGAGCCATTTTTCAGAGTACTTGAATTACAGTCAACAAAACAGGAAGTGCCGCAGCCCTTCCAGTTGCCGTGAAAAGCCCCGGTCCCCGCCCCGTGTGCGCATGCGCGAGGTTCGGCCGGCTGTGCGCATGCGCAAGGTTCGGTCGGTTGTGCGCATGCGCGGGGCCGGGTCGATTGTGCGCAAGCGCGGGGATCGGCCGGTTGTGCGCATGCGCGAAGTTTGGTCGGTTGTGCGCATGCGCGGGGCCGGGTCGGTTGTGCGCATGCGCGGGGCCGATTTTTAAAGCGGATGTGTGTTTAGACAACTTCCGGTGGCTATAGCGTTAGCATTAAAGGACTAGGAAAATGGCTCAGTCTCGGAGCAGTTGTTTTTGTTTAGTTCCTGGTTGTTCATGTGGGGGAAGAAAACAGCCTTATCTGTCATATGATGCGTTCCCGACGGACCCGGACCAACGGAGGCAGTGGATCCAGGCGATCCGAAGAGACGAAGGTCCGGACTTTTGCATAAACACGGGGAGCACTTTCGTATGTAGCCGCCACTTCACATCGGAGGATTTTGTTAGCGGATCCACCACCAGCCGCCTTAAAAGTGGAGCTGTTGCTACCTGCGTTGAGCCCTGGCTTCTGTTCAGCAGTGCTGCCTGGGTTTTGGACTACTAGGATTATTTTCTGCCTTGTTCGTCATTGAACCATCATTTCACTCCGTACCTAGGTCTGCAGTGTTTACCTCTCCACCTTCCACCACATGACACATTTCCTGTGTGCTCCATGCTTTTCTTTTATCCTATTTTCTTTTTTTTTTTTTATTCAGTTTCCAGTATAATTAGCCAGATTGATGTAATTCACAGATTAATCTGATTTATTTGTTTATGATTACTGAGTGTTATTTTTTTTCTAAAGACTGTCAGATTCCAGTGTTCTCTCAAACTCCATGAATTGCTCTAGCTTGTTTGTTCGAGCAGACAGCCAAACCAAAGTTGTGTGTCGCTTTCTTTTTCTATTCTGCTTTTAATCTCTTGGGAACACTCATTCCATCTCTGCTGTTTAACATCGATATAGATATAAATACTACTATAGATAAAAGCTTATTTGGGTCACAGAGCCTACCTTCCTCCTTAACTATGTCTTGGTAGGACATTACTTTTACAGAACTGGTTAAATAGATAAATGTGGCACCTTCAAAAATCAGGCCAATGAAGCCCATAAACTAAATTGAATTAAAGTGTCAACGAGCATAGAAAGTACTGCTGCATGCCGATGACTATTGTGAGTTACAAAACATAGTGATGCATCATAAACACATCAGTACTGCTTGTATAGAATGTGTCTGTAAAAATCAACATAGGCTTAATTGTAGTAATGGTTGTTGTAGTAACGGCCATCATACAAAGGAACATTTAATCACTTGTGATTTAAAATGAAGGGGAGACTGAAAAATCTAGAGTTAGACATAAAGCAAGGAACTGGAATAGGTCAGTTCAGTCCGTGAACTACACTAATGCTTTGTAAATTATTTATGTATTCAAAAAAATCCCTGGAGAAGGCTAAAATAGCCTGCAGAAACCGCGATGTTTCTACATGGTGGTCGGGAATACATCATGAAGGTTCTTCGCTCAGTGTTGCCCCAGGAGTGGACTTCTTTGGCTAATTAGGCTTACAGCCCTTTAACATTTAATAACGGCCAGCTGGATCTACAGTTCAATATTTAATCCAAGTCCATACTGAGGGATTTCACCAAGATTATCGGGATTAAGGGACAAAAGAGTAGCTCTCCATGTTAGAAACCCCACCCCCAGTAGTTAACAGATATATGAACAACTCTCACAGCACTAAGTGGAGACGTAAAAACATTCCCTGCCTGCAGTTTTCTTTGTTACGCTGTAGAATCTCAGACATCAGAGAAGAACAGATGCGTGCTCTGCATCATGCAGCCGGCAAAATCTGTGTCAGAGCTGTGAAGGTTATGAAAAGCAGTGAATAGGATATATTCAGAGAGGCTGTCCTAAAAAGCCTCATCACATATGGGGAGGTCAGTCGACCATCTGCTGACTGATTGTTATCTTGGACAGCTTTCCACATATCTGACCATAAAAACCGACACACTAAAGGCATTCTCTCAACTGCTCTGAATTGGAAACAAAACCAGAAGCCATAAAGGAAATTTGAAAGTTCTTGAGCAGAAGATGTCAGGTTCAATTTCAGGGAACCGACACAAACTTAAACCTTAGAGAGTAAGTAAATTGGAGGTGTAAATTTAACAATAGGATTCTGGCTCACTTTAACAACACAGATTTCTCACCTGTCTCTAAGTCCTTGTTGGCTTTCATCTGAACTGACTTCCCACTTGAAAAACAGATAATGCTAACATGGCCTACTTATTTTCCCCTGCCTTTGCTCCTGTGTGTAATCAGTAGTGATGGCATGTCCTCTTAAGGGAGTCTAACACTGAACGCGAGAGGCTTTGCAGCAAAAGGAGAGACAAGAAACAGACACACATCTAACAAAGAGGAACCTAGACATGAATAAAATAACTGATCAAACATATAGAAATGGCAAAAAAATGGACCCAGTATCATAATTCTGGTTGATAGGTTTATGAAGCACTTTCTAAGCTTGCTTTCTCTGTTTTTATTTGTTTTACAACTTCTAGTTTTTGTTTGTTGTAAAGGAGTAATGGAGAGAAAAAAAATATATTTTTCCACTTTTGGCTTAGATTTGTTTGAGTTCTATTTTGCTCCAACATCAGACATAAAACTTGAAGTCAGATCAAACCAATCAAAGAAGAGAAGTACTGTGAAGAGTGAACATTCATTCATGCATGCATAAGTGTCACAAACAGCCAAAGAGGAAGTTAAAGTTTTGCTGTGTGAACCATTCAATTAAAGATTTTAATAAATGTCTTAATATTGTATGACGTAAAGCAATGTTTTCTTATTTATTAAAAAAACGACTTCACAGTATTTTCTGCTACTGATTTTAGTTTACACAAGGGGAATGAAACAATTTGTTCTTAGCTTTTTTTTCTTTTTTTTTTTTTTACAGGGTCCAGTTACACCTGAGGATTAATAACTTTGAGTTCTGCACTGTACCCACAGGACCACGGACCACAAAGCTGTAACCACTAATGCTGAACAGATGTTCATCAGCTGCTGAAATGGGATGAACTCTTCCCGCACGGTGGCTGGTTTCCACTGGAGGCTTTGGCTGCATTAAGGCGTCGCCACAATTTATTGCTTGCTGCGACACAAAAATCGCATGATTACAAGGTAAACGGTCACGACCCAGTTCAGTCGTCAACTCGCAGCAGGAAAGATACGTCTGCATATGAGACAAATTCAAAAACAGGATATGTTAATATGTGTGGTTGCTTGTGGGAGCCTCTTTGCTTGCGTGTGTACGCGTGTGTGTGGGAGGGGTATTAGCATTAGACTGTGTGATGTGTCTTCGATTTGACCGAGATCTGGTAACTGATTGGCAGGTTGCTGTTTAATCACGGAGTAGAGTTGCTCCCGTGACCCAAAAAGGAGATTGAAACAGGAGCAGTTCTTCTGACTAACCCGGCAACACAGATGGGCCATGTGGGAGGACAACAGATTTCTGAAAACTACTAATAGATGGAGTGAGTTCTGCTTTACCCAGAATAGCACCTAACCTCTGCTTCTCTCTCTGTTGCGTCGTAAGAATCAGACAAATTGGGACCTCTTTTTCTCCAACATGAACGTACGTTTAGCATTTTTCACAAGGGAAGTGATTTTTCAATCCACATAGTTATCAGTGAGGAGAGAGAGGAAGCATTAATGAGCCAGGAGATACTTGAACATATGGTTATCTGATGAGACCACCATTCGCCTGCTGACTGAGAGCCATATCCTAAATTAAGATTCCTCTGTCCCAGCAGGGGAGGGACAGTGACTGGAGGGTGCTGAGGGACTGAACACGGCAGTCAAGTCTTTATATGTAGGTTATGCTGCAGGATTGTTTTATACAACAGGCTTGTTATGGTGCGTTTACGTAAGTGGTCCAAGGCAGTGTGGGTCAGTAGACCTAATCCTGTGTGTGGAGAGTAGCTGTCTTAACCAGAGCCATTTGATGGACTTAGCGCTGCATGGTCATTTGCTGACGTGAGCCATAAAGTAGCTCCGTGTTGTTTTATTTGAGCGTTCATATGGAAGTAATGTTGATTCTCTTTTCATCCTAACAGCTTTTCAATTAAAAACTGATGTCTGAACCTTCAGTTCATGTTTAGCATAAAACACAAACAGGAAGATATTTTGAATTCAAATGCTTACCAGGCCATATTTTCTAAACATATAAAACAGTAATGGCCATCTCAGATTTTTTTGTTGTGCTTAGCCTTTTGTTTGACCTATGTGACTGATAAAGCAATATTTACTGCAACAGCTTCTTAAGTGGTTTATGCAACATGTAACATCAGGATCCATTATCACATCTGTTATTAACTGGATGATTATGCAT